GGAGAGCAAATAACTTTAGATTATAAACCAATGGGCTTTTATGAAATGGATAAAAAGCTTTTGAATCTTAAAGAATGGTTTTGCACAAATGATGAATTTCAAAAACTCCAAGTTACATAAATTAAATAGTAGCCTTATTTATTTGTAGAAAGCATCACTGCAGCACTATGAGACGATGCCATCAGGTGAACTGTATGTAGAAAACTGACATTTCAGAAATGCATTACAAATAAAACAGATAGGCATACACATGAGAACGCAAGACACCAATAATTCACACATCAAACAAAGCGGACATGAGCAAACATTTTACCTGTATCACTAGTACAGGTTTAAATTATTCTTTGAAATACCAGAACATTTTGAACAGGAATGGGAAAAGGAGCTAACTAATGGATTTGCTCTTACTCTGGGAAGTTACATTACTGTACATCCAACTCTCACGGAAAGGCAAAACATTTCTGAATTATTGAACTGCTCAGAAACAGGCCATGGCAAACGACTGCAGAAAAAGTCTCTGAATTCCAGGAAGAACCAGAAAAGATCACAGTGCAGGACATGCTCCTTTATCTACAACAGTCTGGATGTAATTTACCAATGTGAAAGCTATTCATTATTGTACTTTTCAACTCTGTACAGAACTGGAATCTTGTACAACTTCTCCATAGATGGACTTATTTCATTAGAAAGCACATTCTTCACTGGCAGAGGGCTCAGTCCTACGAATTAAACTTGTTTCTCACTAATGATTGAAACCGCAAGTGAATGAAGCATAATTTTTATAGATAATTAGAGATCTTATTTAATGCACAGCTGTGGGTCTGTATAACAATTCAGAAGTCAAATGTCCTATATGGTTTCCAAAGTGGTGATGATGGTTCTCCTTTCTTGTAGCACCTGCAGAAAATCCCCAAGCCATCCAACTATTAACTAAATCTTGTTTGAGGTTTGAAAACTTTTCAAATGTGTAGCATCACATTTTTAGCATACAAATAAATGTCTGTGGGTTATTTCCATTTAATTAGTATGAAATATCTCATTACTATGAAATTAACTGTGGCTTCTGGAACCATTATTTGCCACAAAATATCCTGGTCGGCAGAGGTATCTTGTCTAAACCAGATGTTTCACCTAATGTCCACTAATTAACACTTAGCAAAAGAGACATGGAGGAATTTTCATATTTCCAAAATATTTTAAAAACACAGAAAAGTCATGACACCAAATCTCGAAATCACCAAAAATGAAATGTTTTATGGATATGCAGATTAAGAACATTTACAAAATAGGTTCTCTCTTCTCCATCTCTGTTAATGATCAGCTCTGATCACTTTCCGAGGAAAAACAACAACTTCCTTTTCTGTGACAAATAGTATTCACCCCTGACAATTACGGAGTTTGACATGTTGGGCCATATTTTCTAAACAACAACACCGGAAACTGCTCAAGCCCAGTACTGCATTTATGAGAACAGCATTCTTGTTATGAATAATAAATAGATCTTCTACCGCTTTCAGCCAAATATCCACTAAAAGAAGAGTCTGCTTGGTAGGGACGTGTGGATACTTAAGCTACAAATGAACAGCACGAACATAATTCAGTGCTTGGAAACGACAACATTGTTGTTCCACAGCCTATAAACAAAAACTTGATTCTCAGTGTATCTGCAATTCCCTTGAGTGACTGACTTTGCAGTCTCCATTTCCTGTTTAAAGCAAAACCTCTAAAGAAACCTACAAGTATCTGTTTTTTGGTGACTTCATTCATAATCAAGCAAAATGCACTGCATACTTTCTTTTGAAATTTAAGGCTGCCACACCCAAATGTAAATTATTGCAGACAGTGTCACGAAGAGCTTTGATCTTAGCGTCAGTGATCGTTCAGCTCCACATTTACCTTTTCAAGACGACTGCATCTGCGCACAGCTAAATACACTTCAAGCTTTGAGATGTGAGGGTTAAGATCAATGAAGCTAAAAATGAAATGTTTTCAGGAGTGAAGGGGAAAATAGGTTAGCCTCAAAGAGCAGGTCCCCCACAAAGACCCCCAAACTGATTTTATTACATTACTGAATACTTTCTCTTCCAAAAAATATGCCTGCTACACTTCCACTAACCTGGGCCCTTTGATTCATCTGTGTGATCAATACTTAAGGCTAACTAAATCACCAAAATATCTGACTGTATTCAGTTTCTTGCTTTAGATAAGGCAACACTTAACTCCCATCATGTCAGGAGATGTTAGTCCACTCATGATTTGATGAACACACTGCTCCACAATGTTTCATAGCATCCATCGGTAAAGGACCATCTATTCAGTGATTCATGAGATGCTCTGCTTACACAGAACTAGTATTTTGCACATGAATTTGATAGTGTATAGGCGCAAGACAAAAATGGGTTTGCATCTAGCCCTACATCGGGGGAAATTACTGCAATCTCTAAATAAGTTCAAAGTCAGAGAAGGAATTTCAATCAATTTTTACTGAACTTGCCTTTGGCAAGCAAAAAGCACGGTGTCCCTAACTAGAGAAATTCCAAGTGCTTGTTCATTAATCATCAAAGGAAACGACAGATGTCGCAAAATAGCTGTAGCTCCTCGAACAGGAAGTTTCCACCACATCTGAACTACAATATCACCAAACCTGACTTTTCAGGCTGGGTCTTCTGCAGCCTTCACTCTGAACAGCACCACAAGTGGCTCATTTCCCACTACATAAGGCTAGGCAGGACTTCAGAAATAGTTGAAAACAGAAGTTCCCAGCCCTGGTCCTGGGCCCCACACAGCTGCTGATGTTTTGTTCCTGTTGGGCTCTCAGTTACATTACCGAGACCTTAATGAGCCTTATAAAAGAATATGCGATCTTAATAGTTTCACATTCCAAAACCTTGTTGAACGTTGCCTTTACAATCGTTGCGTGTCATACAGAACCTCCGATCTCCCCCTTCCTGAGTACAGACAGAAACTTGCAAGGTCTCAAATCACGCAACATTGAGTTCAATTAAGATTTTGTTTAAAAAACAAACAAAGCGGAAATGAGGAAGAGCCGAGCTGTGGATCTGTGAGACCAAGGATGAGAATCCCCGATTGAAAAAAAGTTTTAAAAAAGCTGCAAGGTGTATCATCTAGTACAGAGGCATCCAGTCCTGCTCCAGACTGGAGGAAACTCTGGGCCTTTTCAAAACCTGGAGACCTGGGAGCTGTAATACAGGTCCAATTGAGCTGATATCAAGGTGACTTACATTAGTGTGAACAATTGTAACTATTTACATTGACAGACACTATGTTAACATTCATTGACTCTTCCCTTTCGGAGCCAAAGTGAGGTTTAGCATCTTTTCTTGACTTGGAGTTAACCCACATTCAACAGCTACGTTTCAGTGTCGAGAGTCCTACCTTTAGTTTATGCCAGGTTTTCCATCAATTAAAACAAAAGCTTTTTTATGTTTAAAAAAAAAAACATCTGGCTGGCTTGGAAACAACACAACGGCCTTTGTTATTGTTGTTGTTGTTTTTTTTAATTCCAACCTGTTTCTTGTTTGTCTGGTACCCAGATGTTCTGCCATCTCTGTTCTGTACAGTGGAAAGGAAAATAATCCACACAAAAAATTTTGGATTCACTCTTTAGGATGCAAAGACTCCTCTGGTCCCTACTCCAGATTTGGGTGCAGGCCGAGTCCAATATCCCACCCTTTATCTACAGTAGGTGTTGGAGCAATGACTATGGCTCTGGCCTCTGGAAGGTTGTGGGTTTGAATCTTGGGAGGTACAGTGCTCAAGGTGCTTCACTTAGATTGAAACACCCTCCTGTACGAACAGATACATACACTTGTCACTTTGGATAAATGTGTCTGTTACATAAATTAGTCATAACACTGCTCTCTTTAGGATACTTAAAAATACATTGAATAACTGGAAACGGTAAGAATGCATTTGGTAGACCTGCACTTCTACAATATCGAATTTTAGTGAAGAACATAAGTGATATTCTGCGATTTCTGTTTTAGTTTAGATGTAAAACATAGTGCAAACCCATTCTAAAAACAAACAGCCCAGGGCTGTCTCAGGGTGCTTGCATTCAATCGTGCAGTGACCAACCGTATAAATAAAAAATTTTAATGTGTGTATCTTCAAGGCACACCCTACTTTATGCATCTAGGCCACAAATGATGAGAGCAATATTAAATGACAGCAGGCCTACAGCGGCTATGCACAACACACTGCAGATGCGAATTTTAACTTTCCATAGAGGACTTGATTTATTCTCTCTCCCTCCCCAGCAAAGAATACGGATGCAGAATTCACCGCGAGTTAAACGTGTTTCTTCTTAAAAAAATACTAATGAGATCTTGATCAATATCAAGTTCTTCACGATGTGACTTTCAAAAAAGTAAAGGGTCGCAATGGACATACTGTGTCAAACACCCTTCTACCACTAAAATATAGTTGGCTGTTCAGTTGTCAATTTACGCCACAGACAATAAAACATCAACCTGTTTCCTGTCGGATAGAGGTTAACAGCTCATTTACCATGCTACTGAAACAAATAAAGTCACGTTGCCCTTATTTTGTTTCCATCCCTTACGCACTTTCGGTATTCAGTTTAGGACTAAGTAACACGCAGACACACGAGTCCACCCTTTCCAGATCTGCAGCACAGCGCTCTTTTAAAACGCTATATTTCAACCACATGACAACTACAGGGCCGTAAGCACCTTATCCCCGGCACAGTGTTACAGTTCCTTCGCTTTCGTCTTTGTTTCTTTTTGTACTTTCCAGATTTGACACAGACAGCTCTAATTTCGGGCCCTCCGCTCAGGCCTCTGGCATCCGCGGCTGTTAGTGGCGGCGCTTGCCTGCCCTGGGATGTCTGAAGTAGGGTGCACAGTGTTGTCCCGTCCCGGCCCCGGCCCATCCCCGCCTCCCCTTCCCTGCGCTCCCCGCCTCCTGTTTACTATATTGAGGCTGCAGCCCGGTTCCAAAAACACTCAGGGACTCACCCCTCTTATCGAGGTCGTACCCGACCACAACGAAGTAGTCGGCTAGCCTGGCCATGTCGGCGCTCTACGAGATCACGACGTCCGGCCCTTGCTTGTTCTCTTGTCGTTTTCCGTGACTCTCTTGTTCATACTCTGACAGCAGGAGCGACATCATCAGCAACTGCAGCAGCATCCTTCCAGCAGCGCCCCGCCGCCATACTGACACTGTTCTCGCCCTGACCGGGAGAACGCAGTGAGCCTGCGCGGCGAGGACCAGGGAGGGGCGCCTGGTCAAAACTGACAGATCAACACCCCAACCTTTGACTGCTTCCACGCACAGATCCCACAGATAAGCTCGCCGTTGGCTAATAACGCCAGTAGTCATAACAGATCATCCACACGAAGCTAGCACAGGAGGTTCCCTAATTATTGCACAGGAAGAGGTACACCTTATATAGAGCGTATTTCCTTATGTCAAAGTGACATTAACAGGTTCGTACCTTACCTATTTCTCATGGGAACATGTCATTTACAAACATAGGTGCGGTCTCTATAGTCATTGTTCTCCGATTCTTAATATTTCTTTGTACCGAGTTAAACCAGCTAATAGTCATACTGTGTAAGACTTTATGCTTTTATTGCAAGACAATATTAAGATAAGCAATTCAGTTAAAACAACCTCTTCCGAATTGAAACCAGTATATAAAACTATCCCAGTGTATTTTTTTTATTTTGTTATCTTGTTTGACATAAGCTGTATGACCCCAATTTTCCCTTTGTGTAGATTTCCCTCCTGATCAATATGTTAAGGAATGGGAAATTTGCCCACAGGGAAGATAAGACCATATGTACAGTATATTAAAAACCTCCCCAGGCTCACAGACTCTGAAATTGGTCCTTTGACTAGAATCCTTCGGTGCAGCATAGATTGATCACAGTGTTCTGGAATTGTAAAAACATCTCAACAAGAGTGCATTTCAGATTTGGTTAAAGTCCAGAATAAATCTTAAACAGAGCATAAATGAGCTGTTGACCCATAATTACCAAGTACTTTCTTTGCACACACTTAATTGGATTTGCTATAGATTTGCAAAATGAATAAATCTATGTTTTCCAGGTTAATTTGATTAATATAATGAACATTTTGTAGTTTACATCTGGTGCTATGAGCTTTACAGTCATGATTTCAAACATGATCTTTTTTGTACTTCTGTAATAGTAACAAATCATTTGCATGGATTGGTGGAGATTAAGTTTAGCTCAGCATGTGGAAAAACAGAATGGATCAATCACACACAACAGAGAAGGGAGATTAGCTAGAATAGACCTAGCTGATAATAAATCTGAATCTAAATGTGATTCAAAAGTGCAAATGAGGGTAGCTGCACATGAGCATGAAGCTCTGCATTCTTTACACCTACCCAAGTTTACTCATCACGTTCAAATTAATAAATGTCACAAACATCACGTTCATAGCAGCAAGAGAAGTGGTATTTCCAGTAGTAATAACAATACAGCAAAATATCACCAACAACAGCTAACACCTCTATGGAAACAATCAATATGCAAACATTTACTGAAGGATGATGTGTTTGGAAATCGACACAAACAAAACTTATGAATACGATGGAGCACTCAAAAAGGCTTGCAGCTTATTAAGGCAATTGTCTAAACCTTCTCAATGTAATTACAATTACACTCAAAGCACTTAGCTTATTTGTGCTTCAAACCAGCCCTGACAAACATTTCTGACTGCTCCTTTAACCCTTCACCTGAATTGGATTTCAAGAAAAGATTGTTAGGAAGGAAGAAAGATTATTCTTTCTTTGTCGAGAAGATCATACTACTTTTTAAACAGAGAACAGCTCTGCAGTCTCAGTCTAAGTATGTAACTTGCAAACCTTTCTTAACACCATACCTAAGGCACCTTGCAAAAGTATTTAGACCCTTGCAAAGCTGTCTCATTGTTTTGCTTTAAAAACTTGCAGTCATGATACTTACACAACTTGCTCCACATATTCAAAGCAAAACACAGAAAGTAATAAAAAATAAGAAATATTACAGAAAAAAAATGAAATGTCATGATTGCATAAGTATTCAAATTCTGTGCTTTGGCAGATCTTAATTAATTTACGTTCACAAGATTACCAAGGCATAAAGTTAGTTGGCTGTCCTCTGTCTGCATGCAAAAATAATTATTCACATGGTTCCAGAATAAATACAACTGTAAGGTCATTCAGTCTAGCAGCAAATCTTCAAGCAAACGTTCAACCATGAAGACCTAGAAGCATTCAAAACAACTAAGGGATAATGTTATATAAAGGCACAGATCAGTAGAAGGGTATGAAAAAATGTCAAAGACCATTAATAGTTTGTGTTTGAACATGGTGAAGTGGATCATCAAGAAGCAGAAATGACATAGGTACTGTCTAGAATAAAGGTTTGCCCATCAAGCTAAGCAGTTGAGCAAAAAGGAAACAGGGAGGGGGGTAATACTGCAAAGCCAACTGCAACTTCTAAAAAATAAGAGAGTTTAGAGAGTGAAATAGGAGAAAATGTTCATGGGTCAACAACATCCCATTCATACAAGGGGGCTTGTAAGGAATCAAAAGAAATCTCATATCCCACATACAGCAAAGCGCCTAAGTGGATATTGCAAACATATGGCAAAAGGTTTTGTGGTCAGACAAGACAAAATTGGAACATTTTGGTTTAAGTACAAAGTGTGATATCTGATGCAAGCTCAACATTGTACATTACTCAGTCAGCATCATCTCTACAGAAATTATTTTAATGATTAATGAGAACATAGAGTAAAGTACTTAGAGGAAAACATGCTTTAGACTTTAAAAAAAAATACTTTCTGACAATGTAATGATCCAAAGCAGGCCAAAGTTACAAAAATAGGAATTAAGAATAAGAAAATGAATGCCTTTGAGGGACTGACTGACAATAGGATTCAATGTCCTGACTTGAATCCTATTGAGAATCTGGGGAAAGACTTAAAAAATAGCTGTCTATAAGCAATCTCCAATTAAATTAGGAGAGCTGGAGCAAATCTGCCAAGAAAAATGGGCAAAAATTGGACCTACTGGGTGTGCTAAGTTGGTAGAAACTTACCCAAAACGTCTTGTAGCTGTATTTGTTTCCTAAGGTGCTTCCGTCAAATACAGTTCACAGGTCTTAAGCAATTGATATTTCATGTTTCAGAAACAAAAAAAATCAGTTTTTGTTTCTAATTATCTTACCATTATATGTCTTCAGTGTCAGCATTCAGGTAATAAATAAAATCTTAAGTTTTAAACATATATATGCTACATTTTGTAATTTCACAGCATAGGACACCATAGGAAGGTTATTATTCAGGAAAATTGTCAGCAGCAATTGTATTTACATCAGTCAGAAGGATAAGCAACAAACAAAAAACTTTCTAAAGAAGTCTGATTAACATAAATTAACAAAAAATAGTGTTCTTGTTCACAGTTGTTTTATATATTGAGAAAGGTGACAATACCATGTAAAACATGTTAAGAGGATAAAACAATTACTACAATATCTATAGACAGGACAATATGTTCAGAACCATACTTGTACCAGAACGGAAATCTGATAACATCACAGTTCTTACTACAAATACCACCGTTGTTAGTTACGTGACCTGCATTAAGGATTTTGCATTTAATTAATGATTTAAAACTTAAATGGTAACCTTTCCCTTTAAAGCGCTCTTTGTCAAACTGACGTTGCCAGTTTAACATGAAGCCACATCATCTATTGCATGGCCTGTTGCTCACACTAAACAAACCACGAGTGCACATTCAGTCTGTCCTGATAAAATGGAATTCAGAAAACTTGGCACTGTCAACACAATCCACAGAAGAAGTTTGCAGGCTCAGAGCCAATAAAAGATAAGGAGTAAGCCACAGTCCTCAGTTCATTTTGCTGCAGCAAGCAGTTTCACAATAAAACCTCAAGTTTTCAGCTGGCGAAAAGGAAAAAATCAAAGGCCTTGCTGTCAAATTGTTATCACCAAACTGGCGTATCAAGTACTGTGGCTTAAAGAACAATTTAAATAGCTGGTCTTTACTATTTTTGTACATTTTACATCCGGTGAAACAGCATATAACCGCAACATACACTTGTTCACATATCACTAGAAGTGACAGCAAAAAGAAAAAATCGTAATGATTTGAGACACACAATCACTACGCCATGTTCCAGGAAAGCATTCTCCAGAATGTGATGTGACCTAAAATACAAATGTACTCCACTCTCAGAATTTATAATTATTTGTAATTTCTTATAAAAAATTATATGGTTGTAAGAGGATCTGAGTAACAGTTAGTAGAAGAGCATGAGAGATCACTTTATTAGCCATATACAATTTCTTGCATTAGGAATTTGTCTTTTCACATACCCCAGCTTGCTCACAGGCACAAACATAGGGAGAGAAGCTTGGGGCCAGAGCACAGGGTCAGCCATTTATACAGCACCCCTGGAGTAGCTGGGGTTAAGGGCCTTACTCAGGGGCTAAACAGAGCAGAATTCCTCTGTGGGTTGCAGGATTCGAACCAGCTACCTTCCAGCCACAGGCACAGATCCTTAGCCACAGTGCCACCACTCTGCCTGCTTTTTTTTAAGAGCAAGAGCGTGAGGCTCTGCCCTGTGATTCTTTATCACATTATATCAAAACTGTGGCTGTTGTTTTTTTAAATGGTTGTGATAGCTTTGGATGGTAATGAAAAAAGCTTTGCCATATTGCTAATGAACCTGCTTTCTGCCTGGTTGTAATCCTGAGCCCATTTAATAAAAACATTTTTTAACTTGTTTTGTTCTCCACCAGAACTGTCCAACTTGTTTTTTTCACATCTGTGTCAAATGAACTAGACAACTAGACTTGAAGACGTTGAAGCGGGTCATATGGCAGAAGGAGGCTGCAAAAGCTTGCTGTTGAAGGAAAGCTTCAAGAATATGGCACCCTGTGTTTAAAGAGTATGACAGGAATCAGCCCTGTACAGGCCAGAATTGGCTGGATGATATCATCGCCTTAAAGAGCTACCTGTTACCACATAAGAAAGTTTTTTTTTTCCCATCTATTATCTTTTAATAAGGAAAGAAACAGCTAGGATGATAGACTTTCAGGGGATTAGGTAGCCCAGTCAGATACAGGCAACACCCCAAGTGAAATTTCTTAAGACACGCTACTCATGGGAGTACAAGAATAGCGCTCTATCTGGGTCTTGAACCTACAACCTTCCACTTATAAGCCCCCCAGTCCTAACAACTGCTCTCACCTGAACAACTCATGAGGACAGTGGATTAATCCCAGTAGACAT